TTCCCTAATAGCACAGGTTTAATTTATTTCTCATGTGCTGTTCTCACTAACAATCTTCAACCACTACTACATTGTGACTTACACAGAGCAGTTGTGAGGATTAATCACACAGGTTCTGATTTTCAAAGAGTGAAAGCCGCAGTTATGCAGATGTTTTTACACAATTATCTTTCTTTATATACTTAGTAACTCTACATACACAAATATCCAGTTTGCATAAGCAATCAAAATAACTGCGTAGGAAAAGACAGCACAAAAGTCAGCTTCTTACTATTTGTAAAGTACTGTGAATTAGTGAATAAAACCCGTGGGTTATCCATGTTTTTACCAACCACGCCCCCCACTTCAAGTGGGGTATACATGTATATGTATACATGCAAGCTGATTTTTACTCATATTAAAAGAAGACAAGACCAACATGATAAAATCAGCCTTTTATGAAAGCGGCAGAAGTCTCTGCAGGTTATGTACATCCTCAGTTAATCTAATTTTTTTTTTACATGCGATAGAAAAACCGCAGGTAATACATGAGTAAGTGTTAAACATGGATGTGGGTTATATTTGCTAATTTACGGTATTTTACAGATGAAAAGCACCATCCTGAATTAATAATGCTTCATGCTGCTAAGCTGGAATGGACACCACACAGTGAAAAATGCCAGGTAGGTATTGGACAGAGATTTAAATTCAGACATCACAACTTCTTCTGAGAGCACTGTAATGTTACCCAGGATACTACATGGACAGACAGACAATTGTGTCCCCTCACTTCTCCATCTGGTGTGACTTAGACACTGCTATGCTGTGAGGGCAGCTATCCCTGGTCTGTCCCCACAATCTTCTCTCCAGCCTGAAAATCATTCCCATCTATATTGTTTGAGTTCTCTGGCCAGCCACTCATGAATTATATTACAGTTCTTAATCAGCAAATTCCAAGTTCCAGACTTGTCCCAGAACTGAGAGTTATTTACTGCCCAGTACCAATGTTTCCTCTAATCTTTTCCATTTACGTGCAGATTTCTTCCATCTATGAGCAGAACAATTTTTTTATGTGCACCGAAGTGTGTGCGAATGTGCACAACCAATAGAAACACAAAACCTAGCTGCAGGCCACTCTGCTATTCAGGTGGATGGCATTTGAATTTCTCCTGAGAAACCACACAGGTACGCTGTGGAAACAGGAAACACTGCCCCATACACCCTAGGCAATACATGCTCACAGAAAGTCCACCATTTCATTAATAGAAAATGAGATGCACAAATCTTGTTTTCTCTAATAGAGTTTCCCAAACACTTCTATCCAAACACACTGGCTTTGAAAAAATGATAAAACAAGTTTATTAATGATAGAAAGAAAGATTAGGTGATTACAAATAATGAGGCATAAAAGTCAGAATGTGGCTATAAGAAAATAAAGGGGAACATGTAACTAATCTCTCATTTAACAAGCTAAGCGTGCATCTACACAGCACCCTAAACTTGAAATAAGATATGCAATTTCTGCTATGCAAATTGCATATCTTATGTCGAACCTATTTGGAAATAGCTTATTTTGAAATGTGGTGTATCTACATAGCACCAAACTTTAAAATAACACACTATTTCGAGACATCCCTTAACCCACGTGGAAATAATGTGAAATAATATTTCAAAATAACAGGCGGCTTGTTAAGAGGTGGGGTAGCTAGTTCTGGTTTCCCCAGACTCGGAAGTTGTATTATACAAAAGTATTTTATAACTTCACACACAACATTGCCACCCATATTTTTACAGGATAATAATGTTCAGTGGATGAGTTTTCAAATTCTCTCTCTCGGGGCATACTTTGTACAAAATCTAGTTGGTAAAAAGAGTCTGTATAATGGTACCGATTGTCACAAGAAGAGGCAGAACACTGGAAAGTTCAGTTCAAGATCCACATGGTGTTTGTGAGCCTAAAATTGCTTCTGGAAGCTTTTGGATTGATTTAAAAAAAAAATCAGGCACCGGGGTACTGCATACATACTCCCACATTGTGTCTGCCTGAATGTTGCCAGGACTGAACCTCCACCAGAGACGTGCTAATGGTACAGCAGAAAATACACTAATGCTTTCCATCTGTGCCCAAGAATAGGCATCTTGCTCCTTCTTAATCCTCCTCTCTCCTCATGGATGGTTGCCATTCCTTCTTCCTACTCAGATACACCGTCCCTTTTTCAGTCTTCTCCGGGTGTCCCCACCTTCCCCCCGCCTCCTTTGGTTTCTTGTGTTGATGCCTAAATCCATTTGTTTTTTATTAGCAGCTCCCGTCATTCCATTGGAATCCCTGGTATGAGGCAAGAAGAAAAGGCCTCGGGTACAGAGTGGGATAAGTGCTGCACTTTGCCATCATGAAGACAGCCACAGCCACCATACTTGTCCTAGCTATTTTCACCCTGCTCTCTTCAGGTAAGGCTGGTACAGAGGGAGGGAGAAGGATGTTAGTCGTCGGAACAGGAACATGTATTTTATGCTTGGTCTTTTTTTTTCTTTCTTCTTATGGTACAAAATGATTGCTGTTAGGTCTGTGCCTATTTTGATTACTTCAGTTCTCATCTGGTTTGAGTCTCCCTGTTCGATCTGTGGCAGATGCTGACTTCATTAATGACCTTTGAAACAACAGAATGCAGTTGTTTCTTGGCACTTCCTTGTTTGCTTGGAGTATTTGATGGGATCTGTTTGTTCTCTAGCTGTAAAACAGTGCAAGAATTTAGGCCTAGCCTCTTTCTAATACTTAGGTCAACTTACTGGCATAGTTTAGGATGGTGAAAAGTGTCTTGTCCTAAGCATATCAATCTAACTTTCAGCATAAATAAAACTAGCTGGATAGAAGAAGAGGTAGATTACCTATATTGATAGAAAAGCACCTTTCATCAAAGTACAAAATGTCTTTGCTACTGTGGTACAGTGGGGCAGCAGTGTAGATATAGCCTTTGTGTGTTTGGAATGGGACATCTTCAAGTCATCATTGTCAAGTCCAAGTGGAGTCTCAAGTCACTACAGTTCAAGTCTCAAGTCGAGTCTTGAGTCACTTTCGAATTAAGTCCTAAGTCAAGTCTCAAGTCTTAATTTTAAAAATGTCATGTCACTTTTGTACATATCGGCATTTTCTGACATTTTTTTCACCAAGTCGATTTAACAAAATTAGCAAATCTCAAGTCGAGTCTCAAGTCACAAACAATGAACCCAAGTCAGGTCTCAAGTTGAGTCATCTAGGCGACTTAAGTTGGACTCAAGTTCGAGTCGTGGGACTCAAGTCAACAACTCTGCACAGCTCAGAAACTAAGGTTGGATCCAGCTGAACTTCAAAGTTTGGGGTTTGGCATCTTCTGAAAGTGTTGTTAGTTTAAGGGATTAAATCCATACATTTTAAAACAAAACACTATTGATTTCTGTGGGGGGGGGGGACAAACACTTAGCTATATAACTTCATTGTTTTCTTAGAAGTCAGGAAGCTACAATGGCCAAAAGTTGAATATAAACTCTTTGAATTCATTTGATCCAGTCTTTAATTACAGGATATTTTGTATATACTGGATCCTCTCTTCAGATCATGTGTTATTTTGCATATCACTATTTTTTACAATTCCAAACACAATGACACACTGGATTTGTTTCTACCAAGTTTGACAATGTTTTCTGGAGAAATATCCATGAAAGTAATTTAAATTAAGAGTACACAGTACAGTAAACAGTATTTACTCCGTGCACAATACTTTAAGCTCTAGAATTAATATAAGGGTATGTCTAGACTACAGGCTTTTGTCGACAGAGGCTTTGTTGATAAATACTGTTGACAAAGCTTCTGTCAACAAAGAGCATCTAGATTACATCCAGTTCTGTCGACAAATGGCATTATTCCTCGTGGAATGAGGTTTACCGCCATCGACAAAACTGCTCAGCAGTAGTGTAGACACAGTTTTGTCAACAAAAGTCCACTTCTGTCAACAAAACCCTGTAGTCTAGACACACCCTAAGTGAAAATTTACTGGCAGTTGTAGGCCAATTTAGGTCCCAATCCTATAAACATTAATGCAAGTCCTTAACCTCATTCATAAAATTTATCTCATTGACTTCAAGGGAGTTTACTAAAATACACAAAATTAATCTTGTGTATTTAGGTTGCAGGACTGGGGACTACATCTATAACTAAATTAGCTTCATAGCTAATTGTCTTCTTTGCTGAATATCACCAAGGAAGACTTTGCCTGTGGCTACAAAGATAATGTACAGGACATGGGTGCTGATTAAATTATTAAATACATTTCTATGAGAACATACTATATTAAAAAGAGATAGACCATTGTCAAAGCAAAATTAGAATTGTACAAGAATGAAAAAATATTACGAAAAATTATGTCTATGCATGAGAGGTTATTGAAAAGTTGTTTATAGTCTGCATTATGTCAGAAATGACAATATTTTGTACTTACTAAGACTGAACACATATGGAAATAATCAGAGATCAGACTTCATTGGCTTCTTTCCACGTGTGCCCACAGGACATGTGATGCCCTCAGAATGCTTTCACACGTTAGTTAAGGTGTGTGTCACCCCTACAAAGCAGCACAAATAGGAAATCTGGGTCTGCCTCGGATTCTGTTATCCATGGCAAAACTCAGAACAGAACTCAGAACTGTGTGATTCACAGACTAATACGGTAACCTCTACACCTGAGTTTCCTCCCACTAGTCCCACCGCAGAAGCTAGGGAAATGTTTAATCAGTTTTATGTAGGACTCTAGCCTGAATGAATGTGGTCAATTTAATAGCTAGTTCTCTATCTTGTCACTGCTTTTTAGTATCAGTTCAGTTCTACTACTGATCTGGAACACACATATTTAAAACAATAGTCACCCTTTTTCCTGACAGTGTCATTTCTGCCCCCATTAACTCTGGAATAAGGTGAGTCTGGAGTTCATGATGACTCGTGAACAATCGTAACTTGACTAGCTGCAAAATCCTGCTTTAAATCATGTTAGTGAAAACATGGCTGTCAGTCTATTTTCTTGAAACAAAAGGCAGAACTATGTAGCACTTTAAAGACTAACAAGGTGGTTTATTAGGTGATGAGCTTTCGTGGGCCAGACCCACTTCCTCAGATCAATATGTGGAAGAAAATCGGCACAACCATATATACCAAATAGTGATAGAATCAAAGGGGGAAAGGTTAGTGTCTATGAGGTACTATTCAACCATATGAAAAAACTTGCACAGATTCCGACAGACGTCATCTTTCTATCCAAGTGCAAAAAGATGGCCCAATTATCACCCCTAATGTCATTACCTCACAGAAACTTCCCTTATTATCACTCCTATGTCATTACCTCACAGACACTAACCTTCCCCCCTCACCCCCACTCTGTCCTAAAATTTGATTTGTCAATTTCACATGCCTTCATTTTTTTTGATTGTATCACTTTGGTATACGGGCAGTCCCCGGGTTACGTACAAGATAGGGACTGTAGGTTTGTTCTTAAGTTGAATTTGTATGTAAGTCGGAACTGGTACATATTGTAGGGGAAACTCTAGCCAAACATTTCTCCAGAGCTCAGTTTTATTCTCCCACACCTCACTTCCCTCAGTCCTTTATTCTCAAGCTGAGGTGTCTGCTGAGAAAAGCCGCTCCGCGTCTCCCTGGTCTGTTGGGGGGAGGGGGGGCGCTAGCTTTGCGTCTCCCTGGTCTGCTGGGGGGAAGCAGCTAGTGCGGGGTTGCTTCACCCCGTTTGTAAGTAGGGATCCGATGTAAGTCGGATCCAAGTAACCCGGGGACTGCCTGTATATGGTTGTGCCGATTTTCTTCTACATATTGATCTGAGGAAGTGGGTCTGGCCCACGAAAGCTCATCATCTAATAAACCATCTTGTTAGTCTTTAAAGTGCTACATAGTCCTGTATTTTGTTTCAGCTACACCAGACTAACACGGCTGCATCTCTATCACTAGTCTATTTTCTTGTTCATGATGCTCCATTCTGCTCTATGGGCTGCTTTCACGAGAAACAGACAAAAATTGAATTCCAATTCCAGCTCTGGCACTGCTTATCACTGTCATCTTGGGAAAGGCATGTAACCTCTCTGAACCTCATCTATGAAATTATGATAGAATTTCCTGCCTATTTCATGGCAGCATGGTGGAGTGGCAAGGATTAATATCTGTCAAATAGTCTGAGAACTTAACATTGAGAATTTACAAGCTTATCCTGGTTTCGTTCCCTCTTGGCAGATTTAAACAAGTGAAGCAAACTTCTCTAACCAAAGGAAAGTCCTGGAAACAATTTTTCATTATCTAGGGGACTCTTAGAGTATGTTTACAATACAGATTATTTTCTGGAAAAAGCGTTTTTTCTGAAAAACTTCGATAACATCCACACTGTAATTGTGTTCTTTTGAAAAAAAATTGAAAGAACTAAGGGGTTTTTCTGACATTGGCAAATCTCTTTCTATAAGGAAAAAGCCTTTTTCAGAAAGAGCTCTTTCAGTAAAAGGCATGTATGGACGGGGAAGAGGGAGTGCTTTCGCAAAAAGAGGAAAGAGGAAAAGCACAGGTGCCCTGGTGGCCATTCCACCCATAATAATCACAGCTTACATGTGAGATAGCATCCATTCAGTGTGGATGCAATCTGTCAAAAAGCAGATCGCTTTTTTGATGCGCTTTCGCAGTGTGGATGCTCTCTTTCGGAAGATTTTTTTTTGGAAGATCTCTTCCAGAAAAGCTTCTTCCGAAAGAAGCCTGCAGTCTAGACATAGCCTTAGGCAGTTATGTTGTTTAAATAGAAAAACAGGCCCAAGCCTTGAAATACCCATCATGATCTCAAGTCCAAAGTTTTGTGGTGTTTGGATGTCAGGTTTTGATTCAGCATATTAAATATAGTATCTGATTGTTGCAGACGGCTGCTGATTGGAGCATAGGTTTCAAATTCACTGTTAGATCCAGGGGGATGTTTATGGAACTAGTGCTTTAAATATGGGCCTCAAATTAAAAACAAAATCCTAGCACTGAAGGGATAGTCAGAGGCAAATAGTCAGGAAATACTGTTCCAGTTAAAGACAACACTTTCCTTCTTTTGGTACCCTGATCCTAGAAAACAGTCTTTTCTCGGTTAAAGAACAAAAAGTAAAATCAGCTATAGTTGGTCAGTTTCCTCCCTCGGGTTCCCTTCTTCTAAATCTCCCCTCCTCATTTAAAGAGCATGTCTCTTGCCTTCTTACCCTGCAGGGAAGAAGTTCAGATGGTGCACCCTGTCTGACCTGGAGCAGAGGAAGTGTGCTGAGTTATCTAAAGTGCTCCTGGTTGTCCTACCATTGGCTACAGTCAACTCCTTTACTAGGGTTTCCTGCATCCGAGCTCAAAATACTCATGACTGCATCGACAAAATCAGGGTGAGTCTGTAGAGAGAATCCCAGAGTTTATCTTCACCCCTTTCCCCAAAGTCAAATTCTTTGGCAGGGGGGAAGGAGACAATCCATTGGGAAGTGAAATCTAGGCAATGATGACGTTGGTATTTCACGTGTGACAAAGCACAGCAGGCAAGAAGAATCCAGGCGATAACCACTTATAAGTGATACAGCTAACATGGATCCCAAGCAGAATCTCTGTCATTCCCTTGCAATCCCAATGAAATAAAGTTGTGGGGGAGCAAATGAGCAAAATTTGTCTCTCTTCTATAGAGCTGCAAAAGCAGGAAGACATACTGAGATAGTCCCCAGCGCTTTAAGGTTTCAGTTCTAGTTCAGTTTTACAATTTGTCTCTGCCTCTTCATTTTTAACCACTAGCTAATCTTTCCTGAACCAGAGAGCTGTCCTTTTCCCAAAGACAAAGAGTCTTGGAATGATCATTTATATGACACGAGGCGGTGAAGTGACTGGTGTGTTATTAAGTGTCACTGAGGGGATGGCACTTCTCACACTGCTAAGTGCATTTAAATTCCTCTGGGGAGAAAGGAGAATGTAGCCCTGGTCTTCCTAGTAGTACAGTTCTGCTAATGTATCCGAAACCTGCCTGGGAAAAGGGACTCATCCATAGCCCTGCTTTCCCCAGGGGATCCCAGCTCTGACTTGGAAAGAACAACAACTCCTCCGGTCAGGGACGAACTTCGTCGCCATCGCTTCATTCGGTCCTGAGCTCCTTATTTATCGATTACTCTATGGAAGACTTACCAGGCATTGCCTGGGTCACTCAAGGCAGGGGGCTGGTGGTGTGGGGGGTGCAGAGCCTTCGAGTTGGGGGGGCAGGGCAAGAGGCTAGAAGCCAATGTGGAAATGTTTTGGGCAGGGGATGCTACTTACTTGGTCTGGTGGTCATGGTTTTGGACCATGCTTCATTTGAATCATTGCTCTGGGGTGGGGCTGGGGAGGAGGGGTTCAGTCTGCAGGTTGCCCCAGGGAGAGAGGACTACCCCGCCCTCTCTCATGGCAGCAGCTTAGTGCCAAATAAGAAGTACCTCTTCATGGCCACTGAAACTCCCCCCTATGCAGCTGAGGGAGGGGCAGGGCCAGATTTGTCTGCCCCGTGCACACGCCAGCCATTGCAAAGAATGCAGCCAACAATGCACTTTCCCCTTGCTCCCTGATGAAGAGGAACAGACATCAATGTTCCTGTATGAATCGGAGGCTGGAGAGAGTTTTTGATTCCCCATCCTCCCTAAAGGACACCCTCCCTAAAGGGTGGGAGACTCGGGACTGGGACAGTCCCAGGGAGACACCCCCAGTCTACTCCTCTCATATGCCAGGTGATTGTCTCTTTGCTTCTCATAAAACCATACAGAAATCTCGTTCCAGGCACATCCTGTTTTCCTGGCACACCCAAACCCTGATCTTGCTTTAAGTTATGATAAGAGGAAGCTGCTTATCAAATTTAACTCTTACTGTTTAGGAGGAGTTCTTGAACAAACAGACACATCATAGACTCATAGAACACTAGGCCTGGAAGGGACCTCGAGAGGTCATCAAGTCCAGTCCCCTGCCTTCATGGCAGGACCAAGCACCATCTAGCTCATCCCTGATAGATGTCTGTCTAGCCTGCTCTTAAATATCTCCAGAGATGAAGATTCCATAACCTGCCTAGGCAATTTATTGCAGTTTTTAACCATCCTGACAGCTAGGAAGTTTTTCCTGATGTCCAACATAAACCTCCCTTGTTGCAGTTTAAGCCCATTGCTTCTTGTCCTATCCTCAGAGGCCAAGGAAAACAATTTTTCTCCCTCCTCCTTGTAACACTCTTCTAGGGACTTGAAAACTGCTCTCATGTCCCACCTCAGTCTTCTCTTTTCTAAACTAAACAAGCCCAATTCTTTCAGTCTTCCCTCATAGCTCACGTTTTCTAGACCTTTCATCATTCTTGCTGCTCTTCTCTGGATCTTTTTCAGTTTCTCCACATCTTCCTTGAAATGTGGTTCCCAGAACTGAACACAATACTCCAACTGAGGCCTAACCAGCGCAGAGCAGAGCAGAAGAATGACTTCTCGTGTCTTGCTCACAACACACCTGTGAATGCATCCCAGAATCATGTTTGCTTTTTTTGCAACAGTGTCACACTATTGCTTGTATTTGGCCTGTGGTCCACTATGATTCCCAGATCTCTTTCTGTAGGGATGAACAAACTCTCTGAAATACACAGTAGAAAGGCTGCAGGCAGTATGATTAAGGAAGGAACCCAGACCAGAAGTATATGAATGATTTTGGGGGATGCATAGTGGGGAGAATACTCAGCCAGTGTTTGTGGAAAAGGAAAGAAAAAAAGATATGGGGTGAAATCTAGACCTCACTGAAGTCAATGAAACTCTTGCTCTTGACTTCAGCAGAACCAGGATTTCATCCTTGGAGTGGAGGGACCAAACGTAAGGTGCAGAAGGGATGCCATTCTGCCCAATTAGGCTTGCCAGGGATATTCAGGCTTCATTCAGGATGCATAGTGACGCAGACATAAAGTCAATCACTTCAAGGTGACATTCAATCATGATGATTAATAGGGATCCAACTAAATCTGAGGCAAGTGTTGCAAAAAGTCTGTGGTGAGAGCTCTAGTCTTCAAGTCACTTTTGTTCCCGGGAGTGGAAAGAGTCGCTTACATGGATTTTTTATTTTTTAAAAGGTGAACAAAGCAGATGCTGTCTCTTTGGATGCTGGAGATGTTTATTCTGCAGTGAAGCTGTACGGCTTAACTGTGGTAGCAAAAGAGATCTATGAGGAAGGTAGGTTAGCAGACATCCTGTAAGACTATGAAGCTTGTACATCTATACTGAAACACTATTTCAGAATAACTAGTGCTATTCCGAAATAACTTAGTCCGTGTCTACACAGCAGGTAGTTATTTCAAAAGAGTATTAAAATACTGTCAAGCTGGAGGACTTCTTTCTCTGACTCCTGTAATCCTCATTGCATGAGGAGTAAGGGAAGTCGCAGGAAGAGTGCTCTACTTTGAAATGAGTGCTGTGTAGATGCACCATATTTCAAAATAAACTATTTCAAAATAAGATACGCCAGTGGTCCCCAACACAGTGCCCGTGGGCGCCATGGTGCCTGTGGGGCCCTTTGTGTGCGCCCACCAAGTGCTTGGGGCTGGCCCGGCCCCAGGCATGTGGCGCATGCATGGTGCCGGAGCTGGCCTGGGCGCATGGCGCACGGTGAGAGCTGGCCCCAGGAGCGCCGTGAATTAGCCGCCCGTGCTCTGGGCACGCGGTGCTTGGGGGGGGTGCTGGCTCCGGGCACTTGGAGGGGAGGAGGGACCGGCCCCGGGTGTTTGGAGGGGGGGGCCGGCCCCGGGTGCGTGGCGCTTGGAGTGGGGGGCCGGTCCTGGGCGCGAATTAGCCGCCTGTGCTC